TGTTCACAAAAAAAAAAAAAAAAAAAAAACAACGAAAAATCCGGAACAACTATTATGGTATTATTATTATTATTTTTATCGCTGTTGTGTACAAACAACGCACATGGAGGTGTAGCGGTGACATTCGATTTTGTTTTGACCACACGTGTTGGCGTGTCGAGTCAACGAAAAACAGCTACGATAACAATAGAAGTATAAACAAGCCGTGGGCCTGTAATGAATTCAATCGCGATATTGTTTCAAAACAGGCAGCAAAATAAAGAAACTTTCGATTGATCAATCAGGTATTTGGTAACAGCGTCAAGCACTTGGGTGTATACGTTCGACCAGAGGTTGTTCAATGTGATTATTTTGAAGGAATTTTCGCTTTTCGAATTACATTTCAGGTAATGGCTCGTGGATTCCGTTTATAGCCAATAACTACCATATAAATAGGTACAGGTTTTTGCGAAGTCATTGAGTAGATACGACTTGCGAGATGAATCGATTCGATGGTGAAACACCCATATGTCCGGACTCTAAATGGTCTTCAATGCTTTTGAATGGCCTCAACGTCACTTATATCGTAGTTGTTATGAATCACATAATCGTTGGTCAGTTAATACAACCACGCTGCCCGTAAAAGGCGACGGAATACGTTACAATGCGACACATTATTATGGTTGTCGTTTTTAATGGAATCCGATCCTTTGTAGCGAAAAAATGGTTTTTCATTGGCTTCGTCAATACAAACTCAACGGTCAGATGATAATTTGACAATTGTCGAATTTAAAAACCTAAATTGCTTCCAAAAAGGTCCAATTCAATTTTTGGTATAGATGACACTCTTAAATTCAAGTTTACGGGTTTTTTCTTTTATTATACTTATCATGGCCAAGGACGAATTATATTATTCGTATATTCAAAAACATTACGGAACATTTTATGAGATAGTACTCAGAAGCACATTTGTTGAGCAACGCCCAGTTACGGTTGTGATACGGTTGCCAGAGTTATGTTCGGTGTTGTTTAGCAATGCCGTTAAAGGCATTATGTCGACCCTTAGTTTATTATTACTCGGTATTCTTAATTATACAGCTCGTAGCAATGCCGTTGGCGACAAACATCATAATAGTAAAAATAAAAAGTTATTTTATCCCTTTTTTCGATGTATCGTTTTACACGCTTACGGTGCAATCCAGTGATATTTGTCGGTGAACGTTCAAACGATCAGGAGAGACATAAAACCGAAATTAATCAGATAAATCGCCAAATTAGTTAAAACTCGTTCCGCCGTCTCGATGTCATGTCCGCAATCATTTACCAACCACAGTTATTTATCTGCCCGGTAAATAACTCTGACCTTAATGTCGTCTATGGGTATGAAAAAGGGTTAGGAATGTGTTAAGTCGATAACGGCGGTTTCGGTTTTTTCGGCTCTGCGTACAGTTTATATACGATGTGTAAGATACCCCCTGTGTACCAATTCCACGATGATCCCTTTCTGGAGCACGAGCTACTTGTCCGATGGTCACGTTAAGGGTAACTCGGGCCAAGAAGACCCGTGAAGACGTGTTAACGGTCGGAAAAAAGGGAAATGAGACAGATACAGTTTTGGATGTTCAACATAATACAGCAATAATAATAATCTGGTTGGCAAGAAAAGGGTCCCGTGATGTTACGGTATTGTGCGTGTCCGAACGGGTCTAAGACGTACAGGGTAAATCTTTCTAAAAGAGATGGAAAAAAATTATGCGATGCGATACGGGAGAGGTGTGGGGTATTGGCGGTCATGGGCGAGGGCGTTGGTTTTTTGGGCGCAGGTGTTGTTTGGTGTGTGCGAGGGTCGTCCGCGTATGCCATCTGCCGCCCTTGCCATGGGATCGCTAGAATCCATCGTTTCTCACGGTCCGCGCGCAACAACCCAACGACACAACCGCATCTGCTAGCACCTGCCTATCTGCGGGTCACCCTCCTATATAAGCGCCCTTGGACCGTTCCATTGGCATCAGTCTGCATTCGAACTGCCTATCGTTCACAACCACATTTTCTAAACGTTTTTACTCGCTTCGCCGTCTCATCACTGTGCTAGCGTTAGTGTTGTGCGTGCTCTCTGCAAATCAGTGCGACTACTTTTATCGTTTTTCAATTGTCTTATCATTGAAATAAACACAGCCATGGCTTACTTATCAAACAGTTTCGACTTCGAACACTTGCAAAACTCAACCAACTGGGAAGTGATTCAGAAAAAACGCTCTTTCGTCTCAAGAAAAGTGCACAAAATCAATAAGGTAATAAAACCAATTATTCGTGCACTTTGCCGCCGCAACGCGGTCACTCCAGTTCAAGGCTCAGCCCTCGATCCACGGGGCCTGTCACCGGAAGAACTCGAGAACCTTCAAAACGAGTACATCGAACGGAAACTATCTCAAGCCGTTGTGTACGACGAAGATGACTATTACTCAGATACCGTTAGCATCGAGTCCGGTTTGGGCCTATCATTCGAAGAGCTCAGACAACCCGAACAGCAATTACTGTCACTGTTGCCCGAAGCCCACTACTATATGTCAAGGGACTTCTGGTTCGAATCCGACATCAGAACCTTGGGACAGCCTTCATTCACCAGACAACAAATGGCCCAGAGGCAACAACCGTACGTACATTAATAACGCAATAATTTGTTGTTGTGGTTGTTTTGTTTTCGTTGTGATAACCCATTGGTCTTTCAATTGCTCAATTATTATTAGATTTTTAAATATAATGTTTTTTTAGCGTATTGCTCTGACAATACGAGATCTCTTTTATAAAAGAATAATATTTTATATTTTTATATTGTAAGACTTTACCACCTCGATGTGTTCTAGTACAAATTTATTATTATATAAACGATACTATTTGCTTATATTTTTATATGTATATTTAAACGATAAATACGCCTTGCTAGACTTTAAACAATGTATTTTAAATGCATTATCTTATAATGACTTTTCTTGCTATAAAAAAATGAATTTGTATTTTTTTCCATGATACTATATTTACATTATTATTTAAGTTTGTGATAATATTTAATTGTTTTTTAACGGCGTTTCTGTGATTGTTTGAAAACTGATATTATTATGTGTTCATTGTTTAATAAAATTTAAAAATATCAATTGATAAAAAAAATCTCGTTGTTAATAAATTATTTCACGTGCTCTCGCACGGGTCTTATGGTTCACCTTTTCCTATAAAAATAATATTTGACAAGGTATTGTGTCAAGAGTCAAGAGTTATGCAAAACGTAAACAATGTGTTAACTAAGTAAAATAAATATTGAAAGAGTAATCAGCTAATAAAAAAAAAAAAAAATGAAAAATTTAATATAATGTCGTATAAAAAAATGAGTGTTTTTTTTTTTTATAGATTTTTAACTATAAAAATATTTGAAGTTGTAAACATATGTATTTGATCGGATAATTATGTTCGAGTACAGTGCACTTGTACGTCCAAGGTAATGGGGTATTAAAAATTGTTTGAGTAGGGCTTAGCCGATGGATCGTATCAGCCGAACGTGATAATATAATGAGTTGTTGGTAAAGCGTTCGCGCTATGTGCGACTGGGCGCAATGGTGGCGGTCATTAAACCGCAATATTATGATAAGCAGACGTGGGTAGAGGTAATGACAATAATACAATATCGCACATTGAAACAATGATAACAATACTTGTGTTTTATTGCGTTTCCTGTGTCGGCGATTTTCGGTGGAAAAACTGCAACGTAGTCGGCCAAAAAATTCCGCGGTCGGTACGTCTAGACGAGTCGATGCCCACACGGTCGTCCCATCGCACAAATGTCACTATTATTCATTGACGAGTATTGTTTGGAAATGTATTAATTTCAACAATTGATTTGCTAACCGACGAAAAACCTCAAATTGTCGGGGGCGACGATAATGTTGTTCTCATTTTCCTCGAGGGCGTTTTAGACAAGTGTATACAACATAATATTTCAACGTGATAACACAAAGTGTTGTTGTTAAAAACACAACGACGCATCGTTTTTTCCCGTATTTTTTTATTCCATTAGCCTATATTCATTTCTCGATAATTCGCTATAATCGTCGAAAGTCTTTTTTTGTTTCGATTCATTGACGCAGATTCTCAATTGTTTTGTTAACCACATTACTCAGTAGCAGTTATGTGGAAACAATTTTATGAATGCAATTGTGCGTGTAATATTGTTTGCGGTTGTCGATAAATCATCGGTGAGGCGAAAGTGGTGTAAACTTAACTGTCTGCCCATATAGGATTTTTGGATATCTAAAAATGTCAACATTTTGCAAATAATATTCAAATTGATTTTGTTAATTTATAAACAATTAATTGAGCCACCCGATCTAAAATTAGTTTTGTGCGCTAACTACACACTGGCCCATACATTAAACAATTGTTTTTCGTTTCAAATCGTAAATTTTGCAATATTATTACAAACTAATGAAGTACGCAAATTAGTTTTGAGTATTTGTAAACTCTTATTGGCATAGCTTCTCGTCGCTTTTTATAATTCATATGAAAATTAATAACTAACTTAAAATGATTAAATCATTTTTATAGTAATAATTACAAAAACAGGTTTCTGTGAAAATAACTTTACACTTATTTGCTAATAATTTGAAAAATGTACTTATTTAAACGGTAACAATGGGTTATAGCTGGTGGCAGTATGAATTCAATCCCCCCAGACTAATTTTCCATTTGGTAGCTTAATGAAATGTTAGCAATATGCATTAATTTACAAAATTATGAAGTTGTAAAAAATCCCTTAAGGGGGGGGACGAAATTCACACCACTTGACGCAAACACAATAATAAAGATTAATTTTTAAATTATCTCTTGTTCTGCGTACGCGGCGACATTTATATAATAATTTCGGTGATTTTGTGTGTGTGTTTATCACAACGTGAGCTGGTCGCGGCAACAACCGCCCGACAATTATTATTGCGATAACGGTCACACGCCGTCAACAGTGTTGTTGTCACGGCTAAACATCTCGGCTACACGCGTGCCGTTGGACCGTGTCCTGTTCCAGTCGACGACTATTATCGTCATTAACTGTCGTGACATGTGTGACTTACGTGAGAAACTCGGTCTGGCGAATCGCCGGACAACAGCATGTGTACTAATTTTGGCAGACAGCCAATTTAACGTCTCATCGGCGCGCCCCTAAAATCTCAGTCAAACAATTATCGGATGATTTATGACATTTGCCTAAAAAATACATTAAGCGTACTTTATTCGCGAGTGAAAATGAATCAATTTGTGGGTACACTATAAAAAAAATATATCCTCTCCACTATTTGATTGTTACACGAGCGGATGTAATATAAAAATTAATAGCCGAAAACAAAAAAAAAATTGAAATAACAAAACGGCTGGCTCGGTCCCAACAAAACGAGTGGCGAATGGGAAAAAATATGCGATTTTTTTTGTTACTCGTGGGATAATCATTTTAAGTAAATCTTTTCCATTCCAGTATCACACTTACCGCTTAAGTATATAATAAAGTAAAATGTACTCGAAAACCAAGCAATACAACCAGTTTTTAACTTATGCTTCAATGTTAATAGTTTCAATATAATTTAATCAACAGTCGTCCAATAATATTCTACGAATACAGTAACTGATATAAATGTTGAATAGAGCTGTGAAAATAAGTAAATAGATGTTTTTAAAAGTTCATATGAGTATCACAGATAGTAATTAACAATTAGTTTAAGAAATTGAATATTTACAAGAATGTTATACGATATTTAGTAAGCACGTTCCCACGTCTTCTTTTTTTTTTAAGCATAATTCTAACGAATTTTATTTCAATGCCGCAAAATAATTTACTTAAAGTTAAAAGTGGTCGTATATTTAATAAAAATATTATTAATTTAAAACTAAAAAATATTTTTAAATATTTTGTAGTATCATTAAGGTCGTCGGTTGCTATTGACTATAAATAAACTTCACAGTTTTTTATTTAAAACTCAATTAATCAGACTGAGTAACTCGGCAACGTAACCCAGAGGAAATCATAAAAACAAAAAATGTCATTGTGTCCCGTTTAATTACTTTGCACAAACGTCTCATAGAGTGTTTAGAGAGAGAAAAATGTAGACAACGCTAAACGTATTGCTGTTCATGAGAATCTGTGGAAGATGAAGGGACAATTTGCGTGCGGCTTACGGTCGATTAAAAAGGGCACGGCCGGGACAACGCCGAGCACGTGCACGGTGCCCTCCGGTCGCTAGGGTAATTATCGTATAACACGATGGAGTGTGTACATGTATACATAGGCAGCGAGAGCAAAAGAAAAAAAAGACTACACAGTGCCAGGCGGCAATCACTACGGGCCAGGTAGCGAAGACGGTAGAAGACGGTGGCGGAGAAGGGGAACCACGAGAGAAGAACGGCTGCTGCTCCGAGGTTGCTTCTGGTCGGCAGCGTGGGAACCATCGAGACGATCGTCGCAGCCACTGCGCGCCGCGAACCGGTGCCGGGCTCGAGTCGTGGGAATGCAGCGGGCTCCTTATAATAATCGGCTCTCTTCTTCCCCCCGCCGCGCACCGCGACCGTACCGCGTGCCCGTACACCGTATAGCTCGCGCTCCATACATAATGTTATATAAACGGGCGCGCGCGATCTCCTTCATACATAATATCTACGTGTATATGTATATACATATATTGTTGTGTGCCACCGCGCCAGATGTGCTGCACGTACACATTATATTATTTGCTCACGGGCGAGACGAAGACAAAAGTTGTTTTCTTTATCTTCTTTTTTTTTATGTCAGCACACGCGCGCACAAGATTTTCCCACCGTGGTCCCTTTATACTTATTAAGCCTTTTCGTCTACCTGGTAATAGGTTATGCACAGCGCATAGAATACACGGGTTTCGTATCACGTTATTGCTTGATGATCAAACAAAAAATAATAATAATAATCTTCATACAATTGAAATCTAATTTCGGTTTCTGTAATCTATAAACTAACCCGCCGGTAAAAGTAATTAATACTGTTGTTCAACAGGAAAGTGTTGGAGGTCAATGTTCGGGGTGTACGAGCGCCCTCACCACTACACTTGTACACGGGGACCCAAAAAAGTTCTAAGATTTTCACATACTGTTATGGTGAGCCGAAGTTGCGTAGTATTTTAACGAGCGGTATAAAGTCCATAAAAGTATTTCATGGGTTACTTAAAAAGTTGCTTTGACACGGACATGGTAGGTACTTATCCCTTTTATCCCCTCCGGATATAACACTGTCACGATGATTTTCATTAAAATCACGTGTTCTATTTAATCGACTTTAGTATTTGTTTTATATTTTTATGGTATTTTAAAACTGCTGGGATAAGTAAGTTACCATCTGATCCGCAAAAAAAAAAAGAAATCGACAACCCCGTCACTTGCAACTGTATAATAAACTAAACGAGTGAGTGTCGTTACAAAGTCGTTAAAAACAAAATTAAATGTCTAAACGAACACAGCTGTCCACCATTGCAACGTCATATGTAATTGGTACTTAACTGTAACGTTTGCCGAAGAACGTTAAATGATCGACTGAATCAATTGTGTGTGATATTGGTTTTTTACAGTATAGCCCATCCTGTTGTTTATAAAATAATATTTAAATGTTATTTGGATATTGTCAATTTTGATGAGAAGGATTCGTTTTCAAACGAGTGATTTTGTTGGAACTAAGAAAAAATGATAATGTGACACTCATGAGCGACAATAACAAATGTGATTAGATATTCGTGACAATATCAAACCATTGTCATGGATTATAATTAGTCAAACTGTTTTGTATTTTTTACTAATATTATTTTGAAATTGAGCTCGACTTATCCCGTAGTCAGTAAAAATTGTCCTTTTCGTTCACGCCACACACTTGCATCAGCTAATAGTTATTCTTTATTTTTTATAAGAGGGACAGTAGAGTAAAAGTCACCAATAGGAAAATATATCAACGAGTAAACTTAATTTATAAAAAAAAAAAATTACAGTTAGGAGAAGTAACCGGCGAAAAGCGGTGGCCAACAAGTGAACGGCGGTCGAGTGTTGTTGACGTCAAAACACGGCCCGGAAGCCAATCCCGTAGGCGGCTCGAAGCGTGCTGGACACGTGCAGACCAGCGAACACAGTGTACGCTTACGTCACATTTATTGTTTCGAGTGTCATCACGCGGCAATCACTTGTCGGCCGCGTTCACATCGATTATAATTATTACGAGAGTGACAATTATTGTCACTCTCTAAATAATGCGCGACAATGTGACGTCGTGCGGTACAATTCTTATCGCCACTTAACGTCCGAAATTAGTTCACTGACGTCTGCACAACGTCGTGCCTGCGCCGAGTAAACGGTCAGACGTATCTTGTGCCCGTCGAGACCAAAAAAACCGTTTCAACTACCTAAGGCGGTCTTCTCGTTCTTTTTTGTTTTTCTTGTTTACTACCTAAACTCCGCCGAAACGCGTACTTGAGCATTTTTTTTTTTATGTTGCACATGCGTTATGAGGTCGTGTTTCGTCACTCCGTACTGGAACACGTGCGCCCGGATTTCAAATAAAACTCAACGAGGGTTGCACTAGGTCGAGAAGGTCGTAAAAAAAAAAAAAAAACCTCAAGACCGCATAATGTATACATAATTAAGCGACAATATTATTACTGTGACCCGACAGCACTGTGTTAAATGTCTTTCCGTTTTTTTCCCAATCTGGTACCCTTCACTCGTCGGCACGAATATTTTCTTGTCTGCGCCAGTCGTTAATAATCATAATAACAACTACACATGAAATTTACATTCTGACCGCCCAAACGACAGCAACACCATAGGCTTCCACCGTCTAATTTACACGCACTTGGTTCCAATTAATGTAACGATTGGGTGTTTTGTTGTCGATCACAAACATTGGCTCTTTAGTTCGAGTGTGATTAGTTGTTTCCTAATAGGCTCTCTTGATTAATAACATTTCAATCGCGTTTTTTTTCACATCATTTATCGATTCGACCACTCCAGTAACGTGTTACAGTTCTATGCTAACAAAACGGCAATATTTCAACATTACTCGGCCGTCTTAATTATTCATTGGACTTTTACAAAATTCTCACTCTACCGCCTCGTTAGCCTTGAATTGACATCACATGAATATTACAATGTTAACGAAAACAATAAATAACTGTATTTTAATTATTTAATGTTTTGTCACCGAGAAGAGCCTGGTCAAACCGAGGCGACTCAAATAAAAGCACAAGATTTATTTCACAAAGTAGTGTCGAATATTATACAAACCGTCGAAACGTGTTAATCACTTTTTAATGTCGGTGGATTCCGCCGACACTTACTATAATAATTAAGCAAATATCACACTGTGCAAAGTCAAGGACACCGTTTCAACGCCAACTAGTCAGAGTGTAAACCTAATTAGCGTATTTCCGATAACGATGTTTACATCAACAGGTAGGTTAACGAAATCTCATATAAATTTAATAATACTCGGAGGTTTCCATTGAAATAATAAACGCGTAAATATTGAACAAATGTTCAATATTAGCGAAGTCGCGCAAATCGCCACTCTTTACAACTGTACGGGTTCGACCTCAACCCGTGACTTATGATTATCACACACACGCCCATTCGGTTTTGATTTATTAATTAAGCGTTCTGTGTAAAACAACACAATGAGCGGATAGGCGATGCTCGTCGGCGGTATTCGGCATTAGTTCAATTAATTACAGTAAGCAATACATCATTTACGGTAGTTGTGTGCAATGAACGGCAAAAATAATCTGCTACAAGTCGAGGACAGCACACGTTCAGTAATAAGCGTCAACACGATCATGATTAAAAAATTAAAGTGTCGAGCTCTTGTGAATGAGGCGAAGAGTTACCGCCGCAAGCCCAACGGTATAAAGTTGACGGTCCCGAGCCTAATAATAATAATAACAATAATAATATAATGGTAATGTTATTAATCGTGCCGCGGTAGGTCTAGTCGCACACACATGCAAACGATACGAGGAGTGGCGGCGGCGGCGGTAGTCGTGCGGTTGGAGCGGCGGGGTGAGCGTGCGGTGTCCGTCGCACGTGCACACGTCCCAATAATGCGTCTGTATGTGTGTGTGAGCATGTACGCGGTGAAAAATGCCTATAGACCGCTGCTGGCAGCTGGTCGACTGCATCGTCATCCGTGTCCGCCGCGTGTGTGGGAACGTCGCGCTATCCCGGGTTCCCACGGACTGCTCGCCTATATAACGCCCCACTCGGCTCACGGTTCGAGCATTCCAACACTGTTCGCCGTTTGTGCCACATCGCTCTCAGTGTTGCTTGTGCCGTCCGCATTTTTACGTGCCGTCGACGTTTACCTTGTACGATCAGTTACACGAATATTTTTGTTGGTTAAATATTTTTTTTTAATCAATTTTTGTGATTTTTTGTGTGTTTGCAACTAATATGTCTTCCGTAGCCACTGAAATGCAACAACCTGTTTCCAGGACTTATCAATACAGAAAGGTAAATACGATTTTCTAGTTATGTATAATTTTTTAATCCATGTCCAAATTACGATTTAATTTTATTTTATCCAAACATTATTCTATGACTTAAATATTCAGTGATAATAAAGACGTATTTTTTTCAATATTAATTTAATTTATCTAACTTTTAAAAACAGTTTTTAGTTTCTCAACATTTCTATATTTTTATTCTATGATGTCAAGTTTACACTAGAATTTTGTTGATACGATTTATAAATTTTAACCTTTTAAAAATATTTGTTTTTTTTTTTACATAGAAATCGTAATGTGTTTATTTAAATTTTCAATATCAAACTTAACAAATGCCTTCGTTTCTTTTATTTGTTGACATGTTTCTAATGATGTTTGTTTTTCTTCAGGTTATGAAACCAATGCTCGAACGCAAACGCCGTGCTCGAATCAACAGGTGTTTGGACGAACTAAAAGAAATCATGGTGGTAGCCTTGCAAAACGAAGGTGAAAATGTCAGCAAATTGGAAAAGGCCGACATTTTAGAACTGACCGTAAGACATTTGCACAAATTGCGCCGCCAACAACGTCTGTCTGGAAATCCTGTTACTGAAATGGACAGATTCCGAGCGGGCTACACTCGATGCGCCTCAGAAGTGTCCCGTTGTTTGGCCGCTACTCCCGGTTTGGATGTCACTTTGGGTGCTAATCTTATGACCCACCTCGGACACCGTCTGAACACCATTCAGCCCGCGGCCTCTCAAACTGTCACCGCGGCACCGTTGACACTCAACGTGGATTCTTCTTCCATGTCATCCACCTCGTCGTCCTGTTCGTCGCCACCACCAACTTCACCATCAAGCACCGCATCCTACCCAATGCCACTCACTCCCAACTCGTCCGTTAGCAGCGGATCATCCGAAAACTTGTTGCAAGTTGTCGACATGTCTCTCAAATCTGGACACTGCACAGCTACTTCTAATCAATCCGTATGGAGACCTTGGTAATTAAACTAGTGGTTTCGTCCCACCTACAACTATGAACTATTTATGTATATATACGGCTATAATTACCAGTTAATCAATGTGTATGATTATATTTTGTTGCTTTCAAATATTATTACTTACATATATAATTATATATATATATTTTTTGTATAAATTATTTGATAGACAATTTAGTTACAATTTTAAGGGAAGGGAACTTGTGAAACGATTGTTTTTAATAAAAAATTTAAGGCATTTTTTTATTCGCACATGTTTAAGTATAAATAAATTTTATAAATGTTTTTTTAATTATGCCTATACTGTGATAAAATAATAGACTAAGATAAGGGTAATTTGTTCTTATATAGGCCGGTAGTTTTATCTGCCGCATAGATTGTAATTTTTAATTTATTTTAAATATTTATTTTTGTATGTATGTTTGTGAAAATTATTTACAATGTAGAGACTGTGATAATAAATTTAAAAAAATAATATACTTGCATAAATACTTGTTACTTTATTTTTTAATTTAAGATTATTTTGAGTGTTGCTCTGGTTTGTGATTTTTAGTGAAGCGGTATTTTATTAAAATATGAATTTTACCATAAAATAAAACGGTGTCTATTACAATTATTATTAAAAGTTAACCGAAACTATAACATTGATATGGTATAATTATAACAATGATATTTTAAAAAAGATAATGAAATTCGAACAAATTAATGATGTTGACATTTGACAAACAAATCGTTATAACGCAATGAATAGTGTAAGAATATTTTTGTTATCAATATAATAAGTATAAAAAACCATCGCTATTGAATAGATAATATTTTACGAAAAAAAAAGGTTACACATGAAGAAGTTGAAATCAATTAATTTTTGTTAGATAACTTAAGAAAATGTTTCATAGTGCGGTCACAATAGACGTTTTAACAGATTGAATTATTTAAAAAAACACAACACTCTTAAACTAATATAATCTCAATCAACGTGATTTAAGATAAACGTTCTACACAATTTAATTCATTGATCGCTAACAGTAATTTATACTTACACAAAATTTTCAAATTATAATTTTTAATTAATTATTAATACATTCCATTTAAATTTAAATTAAATTAAAAAACGCAACTAATTCGCCCACCTTGCTCTGCGAAAATGTCAACTAGTTTATAATAAGTTAAGATCTTTGTATCAAGAGCTAAATAAAACTTTATACTCTTGTAAAATAATTCGTGTTTGGATAACTTTACTTAAATTAATATCAGTTTTATGTGAACATAATGGCTAGAAATGGAATGTCATCAAATGTTTCGTGATAACCCTTTACAAGAATAATAACTTATAATTATAACCATTAAGTATAATACTCTCCTATAAGCATGCAGAAATACATAAAGTTAGGACTATAAATAGTGTGTTTGGTAATTTTAAGGCGTAACTGAAATGTGGTAAATTTATGACTAATTGTATTCTGCTATCATAACTTTACCGCTATCTTGTGGCATATTATGACAATTTAATTTTCAATCAGGGTGATATTTATATATTGTATTTCAATAATGAATAACCGTCAATATTGAAGAACGTGTATAATATAGATATTATAAATTTAATTTAAAGTAAAAGATTTTAAACCACCAAAATATACTGCAAAATAAGGGTAATATTACTTCGTAGTTGCTCTATCTAAAGAAGAATAATCATTATGGTAGCTAAAAGAGCGGATATTGAAAAAAATCCGTTGAATTTTNTAATCATCATGGTAGCTAAAAGAGCGGATATTGAAAAAAATCCGTTGAATTTTAGAAACTAGGAATATTAAGCAACTAGTCGTGTATTCTATCTACTATCTAACTATACCAAAATCATAAAATCATTACCACCTTACTTTATTTAATAACTAATTAAAGTATAATTTTGTACCTAATAAAAAATATAGCAATATAGATGAAAAGTTTTAAAATTTATTTTTTTTAAATTTAACATTTTCAAATTTTTCTATACTTTTTACATTAATTTATAATTTCTTGAAATATTGTTCATTACAGAGTACTAAAATATTATTTTGTATAATTTATAGCTCAAAAATATGTTTGACAAAAAATAATACTGAATTTAAAAAAAAAGTCGTCTGAATTATTTGTTTTATTGATCGTTTTCTAATAGAATATATATATATCATTATAAAAATTAGTACTATTTATTCATGAACAAGTAAAACAATTTTATTTTTTCAAATAGAAATTAAGTTGTACACTAAATAAAATTACTATTACAGTATCAGTTTTTCAAAATTACAAATGCACCTCAGTATTTTCATTTTTTTGTATTTTACTCATTTAGGGGATACAAAAATTATATCCCCGAAATCTGTGAAAGATAGATATTTGGAATATGTCATTACTGTAATACAACATATTTGTGATCAAAAAGGATGGAATTCAATGCAACATTTGCAGTTAAATCATGATGTGTATGGAAACATGACAATAAAAGATGCAATTTCACAAAAAGTTTACAAATACGATGTTTTAGATAAGTTTATTATTGTTGTTCATTTACTTAACTACAAGTATATCGAGATATTAAAAAATTATGCTAAACTTGTCATTGTAAGCATAAAAGAATGTAAAAAGTATTCAACACACAATCTATACAGAGAATTTATCGATTGTACCCAACGTATTGAACATGGAGTGAAAAATTCTATGATAATGTTTGATAATTTGTACCAAGTAATGACGTTTATGAGTTATTTTGATACAAAATGTGTATTCAAAAATTTTAAAGGAATACCATTCGTTATTGTAGAAGAAATTTATTTTGCTTTTCATAATACAAGTACCATGAAAATTTCAGATCAATCATTCTTTATTGACCAGAATGGTAATTTTATATCTGAAAATGCGATTTCAGTACTTAAAAGTATTAAAAATTTTATCGATCAATTAAATGTAATGGTGGAAAATATTAAAGTGAAAAAGTTAATTCTGGCTGAAATCCCAAAACGAGTGAACTATTATTGGATTTTTGAAGAGCAATATTTACATTACCAATCAAAAAATTCTAATCTGACTTCTATCGATATCGTGTTACTTATGCTAGAGTCTTTTTGCGAGAACACCATAAAAAATGATTACGAAGACCTTGGATTTAAAGAAATACTTAACCCGCATTTATACAAGTAAATTATAAAATATTTATTTATCATTGTTTAATATCGGGCACAACATTTCTCATTTTGTTTAAATTTTTTAAATTTGAGAGCCAATTGAAAAAGGTTCATTTAAGTATTTAAATTCTAATCTGTAGAAATTTTGGAGATTTGTTAAAAATCATAAATATAATACTAATATCTATCATAATAAAAAATTAAAAGTGATAGAAAAAGTCTAATTGCAGATTTGATAACATCATGAAATGAAATGTATATATTTGATCCCAATGGAAATTTCTTGTAGACCAATGTATGAATTCATAATTATTAATGATGTTTGATAGTTTGTTTCAATTAAATGATGACCCGAATTTGGTCCTTGATTTAATTCTTGCCTTGTTTTAAAAAAAAAACTGATATATATTAGCTTATTCAATCTATAAGTTATTTAATTTCACATGATGTGTTTTTATTTTTGTGACTGTTACCACTTTTTTTAGCTCTCATCGAACCGATTTCTTTCAACGATACGTCAAAAGGTTTTCCTCGTACTCTGTAAATGAGGGAAATCTCCAAAAAAATCACTAATTTTCGACATTTTTTCAATTTTTTTACTTAAAACTGCCATAACATTTTAGCTTCGATACGAAGCTGAGAAGGTATTAATTTTACTATGGTTTTTTTTTTTTTATTTTATGTCTGTTGCCACTTTTTCTCAGCTCTCAGTGGACCGATTTCTTTCAATAGTACGTCAAAAGATCACAAATAGCATCTAGTTGGAGACATTACCCTTAAAAATTAAAAAAAATTCCCTCGTTCACCGAAAATGGGGGAAATATCCAAAAAAATTACAAATTTAAAAATCGATAAAATTTGTCATTTTTTTCACTTTTTTTTCTTAAAACTTCTATAACTTTTTGAAAAATAAACAAATCAACATAATTTTTTTTCTACTAAAACCTTAGATATTTCCCTTTTGTTTGATATCATTTTATTGAAAATCTAACACTTAACCTACTCATGGGAGGGGGGGAATTTAAAATAGCAACTTTTTACAAAAACTAACTTTTTCAACTTAATTTTTGTAAATGTTCCGGAAATACTGCGTCCTTTAAATATATATCAAATTGAAGCTTATTTTATGTACTATAAAATAAAAAACAAAAATTTGTCCCGACGACCTATCTTCTATGCGCAAATGGCTACCGTATTCAAAAATATGCTATTTTAACAAATTTTTTTTTTTTAAATTATACACTATCAACAGATTTGCATCGAAGCGTTTTTTATGATAGTGATTTTATTCACTGTCAGATACAATCTATATTTATCTCAACTATGCCACGTCAACATTTTACTGGTTTTTTTCCCACGTTAATCCCAAATACTTGGAGTCGGCCAATACATTTAACACTTTTTTCTGGAAAATTAATTTTTCGACTTTAATTCTGTCACTTTTCCTAGCTACTACTACTAATACTAGAATTGAGTGATATTGTCCCTACACCGTCGAAACTACAAGCTTAGGGTAGAGCTGTTCACATGGCTGGTAAAACAGCTACCGCATTAGTTGTTTGGATGGTATCAAACACTTTATTCCTGACTGCTCATACTTTTTGAAAAAATTTTACGCTGGCTGTCGACCTGACGCAACATCATTAGTAGCCTCTTACGACTGGGTAAGGGGCCGTTGAAGTATTCTTATATGATGGCTAATAGAAAATAATTTTTGAATTAGTACTCCAGAAATTAATAATATATAAGGAGAGGACGAAGAGCGTTGCAGAGTTATGCGTAATAATAAAAATAACATAATCCATTTTTTTCCTCCATTCTATGTTTCAAAATAATATTTCTAGGAACATTTTCAAAAGTCAAGTTGAAATGATTAACTCGTCATTATTTCTAATAGAGAAAAGGTCCAATATTCAAAAAATAAATAAATTGTATAAAAGAGATATTGGATACAGATCGGTCGATTACGCTGTCAAGAAATTGTTGTAATCTTAACGCTTCCTCTGCTATAAGCTCTATGGCGTTTGAGAGCCAGTAGTTTTGTATTCGTTTTGCTGTAAAAGAAAAATATCACCTTTGCAATTGTCGCACTCTGTGCGTTTAGTTTATTGCCGTTGGGTCTATATATTTTCTGAGATACATCACAGTACCGTTCACAGCATATTGTACACGTTGGTCAGCTATTATTCAATATTATCTTCAACGATTTCATTTAGCCGATAAGTATAATGCTTGTTCGTATATCATTTTAAGATTTACTAACTTGTATAATTTATTATTTGTTTATATCAGCGCCTTTGTGGCATTAGTATTAAGTGTCCCCTCTATCCACTTTGGTGTATATAAGATTTTATAGTTCTTGTATAATATTGTCGTGATTGAAGAATTATTTAGAATAATAAATAAGGAACAACACATTTGAATTAGGTATAACTTATAATATATTTTAAATAAATATACATAAGTAAATGCAAAAACAGTGTCACGATGATGTTCCGCAAGGAAGTTGAAAAATATATGTACTTGGTGCATCACTGGACCGGTTTGTGTCACCCGAGTTCACTCGGCGTCGCGCGACCTGTCGGACGAGGAGAGGTAGCTGTGTCGCAGTCGCCATCCAGCGGTAAAGCCGGAAGTACAATGCGACCGCGTCAATACATTTAATTGTTATAATTATATATTGTAAAATGCATTCTACATTCAAACATACAGCCCGCTCACCTCATTCCTTATCCTCGACATAGCTAAAGACTTAAGACAAAATAAAACTATGAACGATAACGAGCATGAGTAAATACCACCGGGCTCAGCAGTTCAAGCAAGAGACGTAAAATATATATATATTTATTTAAAATGTAATCTATATAATTTTCAAAAGGTTATAATAGTTTAAATACAACATGATAAAAAATCAAAGCTTGTAATATTCCCGGAATATTTTAAAAAGGTTAATAAAAGGAAATACCTAAGGTGCTTATACACAAAAAAATTTTTTTCTCATTCATTTTGAATAAAGTTATGACAGTGTAATATAAAAAAATGTCGACAATTGCTGATTTTAAAACTAGGAATTATTTGAAAAATTTTCCCCATTTACGGAGAACGTAAGAATTACTTTTAATCATTGATGGCCATGTCTTTAACTAGATACGATTTTCAATTTTTGAACAAATCGTTAAAAAAGATCGAATAAATGAAAGCTAAGGAAAATAATGACATATTAATAAAAAAATAAAAATAAACACATTATAATAAAACTAATACCTACTCAGATTTGTATAGAAACCAAATGCACATTAAAAAACTTTTACTATGAATAAATGTAATGTGAGACGCAAGTGATGATGTTCAGTGAAAGTATAAGATTTTAAATAAATACATTTAAAATAATGATATTTTTCCTATTATTAAAGACTTTTTTAAAAAATTATAAAGAAGTCATTGTGACTGTTAGAATTCGGACTACGTAACTTAAACGGGAAAATCATTAGTGTTACAGAACTAGCAATTGATAAAAAGCAATTTAAGCTAGTTTAAAATTTTAAAGTTTAACTTTATATTTATTGTAAGATTCATGTAACTTTTATAAAAATCGGTGAGCTCATTACTGTGTTTTCTGAAGACTTATAAATTATAAAGATTAGATCGATGTTTGTTAAGTCGTTGACAAGCGATAACTTGTACAAGTGAAATGCTCGTACCTTATAAAACCTTATGATTTTTGAAGGGTAATAAGAGACATTTCTCAGCTCACCTTCGTAATATAATAATCATAGTAACTATTTTTAAAATAGTCTTCGATTAGACAGGTATAGTTTGTTGAAATACGAAAAAATTTTGTAAAATGTGTATAAATTTAGACAAAAGTAGGTCAAATTTGTATAAACTATGTATGACAACACTATTGTCAACATTTTTTATAAATTTGTCTAGTATTTTCAAGTGAAGTTGCAAATATACCGAAATTAAATTTAATTTAATCATTCGAGTAATTGTAATGTCATTTTCATGATTTTTTTGTAGAAGCTAATTACTCTCTATTATATGAAATAAAATGTTTCTAACTGGTTATTTCTTTATATAGGTGTGATTCATTATTTGTACCTCAATTTATTGATCCTGATTCACAAGAAAAGGGAATAGTAAATTTAAATATTCTTCTTAATGAGGGAAACTGGAATACTTTGAGTTATCTATATATAAATCATAACGGCCAAGACATAAGTTTAAGCCGAGTGCTTAGAGATCAAGCAAATAATAATAATTTTCATCTTAAAAAACAGTATATCACTCAACTATTAAAATGTAGATTTTATGACATTTTAAAAAATTTCACTACATATTTATCTGGAGTTTTAGACTTAAGTAAAAAACAAAAGAATAACTCAGACAAACTGAAAGATCTAAATTGTTATATTGAATGTGTGAATAATTTTTTTCTGATTATGAAAAGTGTTCAAGATTTATTAAATTATTTAAATACAGCAATGGAGAAATTAAAACAAGCATCAATATGGCATGAAAATGGAGCATTTTATTGCTTATCACCAATAAAAAAAATAATTGATAATATACTTGAGGTGATGAAAGAAAAAAATTTGTTGCGAGATGATTTTTCTGACTGTATATTAAATTTGGAAGAAGTAGCAAACAATTATATCGCTGACGTACACGATGTAAAATGCTTTATTCAATTAGAATTTAGACATGTAAGGCGAGTTCATGATAGCCATTGTTTTTATCACGAAAAAGTATTATTTACTAAACAATATGTTTTTAATATTAGTCAAAAAAAAACAATCTCAACAAATATTGCTCATTCTTCTACTAATCCTATTTCGAATTGTCAACAGGCTTGTACAGAATTATATATGTTTTGTGAAGATTTCATCAGTAACGAATATAAAAATCTAGGGTTTGATAAAATTAATTAAAAAATTGGTTGTCATTCTTAAATAATTTTATTTATGTCAAGATTATTCTATTAAACTCATTTTATGAATCATAGTTAT